TGATGATGATGATGATGATGATGATGATGATGATGATGATGATGATGCAAATCCACTCGTCATGGCTTTTTGTTGGGTCGATGTCGGGTTTTTTTTTGAAGTAGAGATTCTCTATGGCTCTGTAGAAATTCCTGAAAATGATGCATCTTAGCAAACAAACATGTTCCCTTCAGTCTATCATTTGTTGTACAGTGGGATTTGCCAAAACACCTCCATCCGCTCCATCATGAGCAAAGGGACCCACCCGATCGTCGTTGTGCGTGGGAAAACACACGCCTTCGCGCCTTTCAAAACCAACGGCGGGATGAGAAAAAAAAGAGCAGCGGACGTTTCAACACATTGCAGAACTGCCACCACTGGGCCGGAGAGAGGGAGAACAGACACCGCGGGGCCAGCGCTGCCGGAGAGGAGGAGGAGAAGCCACCCGGTCTGGGCCCAAGGCTCGGCGTGGCTTTCGATGAGCTTCAGCATGAGTCTGGGCTCGCCATCCAACGCCGCGAAGCCTGAGCGTTCGATAGTTCTGAGACGGGGAAGGGCCAGAGCTGAGTGCAGAATGCACAGCAAAAAGGGTGGCACTACAGGTTTGAGAGGGTCAGTTGGACCTCATTTCACTGGTGTTGGTGATACAAAACCACGACGAAACAGGAGCTCAGTTTGAGCAGGTGTTCTTCCTGGGTCAGTCTGCCCTTGGACCAGGTGGAACTCAATGAACCCCCAAAACCGCCAGAGCTCCGCAACGCTCCAAACAAACGACCAGCCTCCAGCAGAAGGCAATTTGAAAGGCAACGAGTTCCACCCAGACGCTCCTCAACCCTCATATGCAGGGCCCCTCACATGGAGGGGTCTGGACCCTCAAAACCCTATGGTTTTGAGGAACCAGTCGGGCTGTTTTGGAGCGTTTGGGCAGGCGAAGAAACGGAGGCTCCAGGTGAACGAACAACATGTCATCCACATCGCTGGAAGGTCCAAAAAAGAAAAGACTCCTTTCATCCCGACATGGAACTGCGTGGGAGGCATCCTTCATCCTCCATCCTTTGAGCCCTTCTGCGGCCATCCGTTTTTTCAAACCAAAAAAACTGTTCCTCGGAGTGTGACAAAAACAAAGAATCCAAGAATAATCCACCCAAATTACTTTACTTCAAGTGATCCCCACCATGACATTTCAAAACAGCCACGTTCGGCCCAATCACCCACGTTCACCCACTCTCACCTCCCGCCTCATCTCACCACCTCTCCCCACCCGAGCGGCAGATCGGCGTCCAGCCGGCGTCCGACCGCTCGGTGATGCATCGGAAGCCGTTCCTCGGAGCGGTCGCCGTTGGTCGTGGTGGTTGGGGGGGGAACACCAGCCCAGACGCGACCCTGGACCCTGCGTAGGGGCCATACACTCCGACTGACTAACATGGAAGTGGAAAACACCCTGTTTGTAAAGGAAAGTAGTCTTCCAAGAGGCCATTGTCCACTTCCAAGTTAGTGAGTTTAGTAGGGGCCATACCCTTAGAGGGACCAGTCGGGCTGTTTTCACGGAGCGTCTGGGAGCTTCCTCCTTCGAGGTGGCCAGGAACGGTGCAAGCCTTCGAGGTTGACGGTTTTGGCGTGTTGGGGAAGACGGATCGACATCCCGTTGTTTGGTTGCAAGCCCCTGCAAATCCTCACAAATACCAAACGGCAACCTATGATTCCAAGGTGTACACACACCCTTTCTTTGTTTCTTTCTTTATTTATGTCTTTCCTTCTTTCCTTCTTTCCTTCTGTCCTTCTTTCCTTCTTTCCTTCTTTCTTTCCTTCCCTCTGTCTTTCATTGTGTCTTTCTTTATGTCTTTCTTTCCTTCTTGCTTTCTTTCTTTCTTTCTTTCTTTATTTCTTTCTTTCTTTCTTTCTTTCTTTCTCTCTGTCTTTCCTTCTCT